TTCCGATCTTAGGAAATTGCACCGTGGCTAGCTGGACCTAAAATAAAAAAGATCCGGTCAATTGTCCATTTATATTCCGAATACAGATCTTTAACCTACGTGAATATTTGCTCATACTCCCCCGGTATGCTCATACCCAAATCGATTCCAACGTTGCCTCCAAACATTCCATTAAGATGAGCGATACCTTCATGTCACAATCGTTTCGTGCCTCGAATCCATGGATTTTGAGAATAGGTACGCTGCTCCTCTGTCTTAAAAGAGAAATTGTGTTGAATTCAATTTTCTCTACGGTCTCCAGAACATCTTTATAAGAATCAGCTCTTGCTAAAGGAGGTAGTCGCAGTCGTGCTACCCATCGCGCTCCATCTATAAATTGGACAATCCGAACCATATGATTATAGCCAATGCCAATGTCAGGAAGGAGGATGCAGCTGGTTCCTTTCCGCTTCTTGGATGCGCGCTCTAGGAGTGCAGGCCAATTCACGAATGCTATAAAGGACTCCGATCGTAAACGGATCGGATCTTCTTGTAGTGAAGAGAAATAAGTCCACTGATACCCAGAAAAAGCTTTAGAATTTTCTGGATAGTTGGTTAGTGACGACCAATGTTTAAGATTACTTTAAGGAGAACTTACGCGGAATGTTCTCAGGAGATTTTTGAAGCTTTTGCTGGAGGGAGTTTACTCTCCATCATGTGAAAGATAGGGAAAGACCGTCTTCAAAGCTAAAATAACATATAACTTCGATAATCTATTCGCTTTATAAGAAGTAAACTTGAATCAAACCTGGAAAAGTCTAAAGGTGTTTGGCTGATAGCGACAGGGATAATTCTAGTCTAGTTGTAGTTCTACAAAGTACAGTATAATATGACAGAACATCAATTTCTCACATAATATATAGAAGTCGCTAACAGAATGAGTAGTTAGTCTAACGAGTATTGAAAACATAGGTCCAACAGAATTCACCTGCCGTACGGGTAGCTCCCGATAGAGCACTATGTTAGTTTGCTGCTACAAAGAAAAGTGGCTGCTTTTCTTTGTCAAGCTCTAACCAGCAAGTAATGCAACGTTCTCTACAGTAAATATTCACAATATCTTCTGCTTCGTTCTATATCAAATCAATCAAGACCATGTCGCCAAAGCGTACAGCTCTCCATATTTTCATAATACCCAAGGCTCACGCTAACACTCTGACTGCAGTTGAAATCCAAGGCCTGCTGCAAGAGAATGCTACCAGCAGCATCAATCTTACCGCTCTATACCTCGAGCAAATAGAGAAGCACAATCACGCATGATTAAAGTTTAATACCGTTATCTCAACCCCTTGGGATACTGTGCTGGAAAATGCATACCGACTGGATAATGAGCGAGAGAAAAGTTCGGTTCGTGGGCCTTTTCATGGTGTTCCAGTCCTGGTGAAGGTACGGATGAGCTCTCTGTATCAGCCGTTATTCGCATTGTTCACATGTGCTAGGATGCTTACTTGACTCCGGAGCTCAGAATGCCCACTACATGTGGAAGCTTTGCTTTAGGCCAGGCAAGGGCAAAAGCAAATGCAAGAGTGGTAGACAAGCTCCTAGAAGCTGGTATGATTATTGTTGGTAAAACTAACATGTCGGTAGGATATCTGGTGTATCCCAAGTGTCCAATATGCGTCAAGCTAACTGACACCTCCAGAAACTAGGCAATCAAAAGGGTACCGCGCTAATGGCCGGGTGATCGGCGGCCGGTGGCCAGGTAAAAACTATCCTCTTTTGCGTGAAATGAAGCATTGATCATAGTTCCAGACGCAGACACCTTATGTCAAAGGGGGTGTTGTTCCCAAATCACCATGGCTGAGTCAGTCGGTATGCGCGATGTACTCCTTCTGCGTCCTCTTCTAATATGTCTTAGACCCCTGCTGGCTCATCTTCCGGGAGCACTGCTGGAGTTGCAGCAGGTTTTGTACCAATATCCATTGATACAGAGTCTGAAGGTTCTATAATCATGCCTACTTGTCGCGCTGGCCTTTACGCGCTGAAAATAACACCAGGATTAATTGACAACACCGCTGTTCAACCTGCAGCCCCTAGCTTTGATAGTTTAGGAGGGTTCGCGCGAAATGTCACTGACTTGGCACATCTTGCGGCGATAATGCAAGGCGATGCCCTTGAGAAGTATCTGCCATTAGTGTCATCTTGAGAAGGCCTCAAGGTGGGCTTTTTGGACCCAACAAAGTGGCGGTCATACCCGTCTGCAATGGAAACCATAGAGGGGTATTTCGAACAAACTGATGCGGCTTTATTTGCTGCAGCAGACAAAATACGCTCTCTTGGAGCTAAAGTTGTTCTATTTATGCCAATCCCCTCATGGGACGAGATTGTCGGTGCAATGCCCCATACGGAAAATATGGAAAATCTCTACCTTATGCATCGCATTTTACACTGGTCGATTGAGTGTGCCAGAGCTGATATATATAGCATGTGCGTTTCGTAACTGCTTTTCCGCCTTCCTAGCTCACTTTGAGAACGCACCGCGGAATATCGAGGAGCTCGTTGACTTCAATAAGGCACATGCTGAAAAGGAGTTGAATCCTGGTAAGTGCAAGCAACAGTTGTCGCCATGAGACTAATTAGTGTAGGGAATGAGAATCAGTCGTTCCTAGAAGCTGCAAGAGATGACCAGACGACGAAAGAAGCGTTTAAGAGAAGCATAAAAGCTCTACGAAGCTTCGCTTCAGGTCGTGTCAAGAAACTACTTGATGAGTATAATCTAGATGTCATCCTTGGCCCTTGCGACTCCCGCACTGGCAGCGTTGGTTCTGCCTCAGGCTTTCCAGTGGACAACTCCTATTAGGCTTTGTAAATTTCAACGGAAGACCACTTGCGCTCCACATGTTAGCTCCAGAGAACCAGGAAGGGACGATGCTTCGGGTCATGGCCGTATGGGAAGCTACATTCCCAGAGAACGTTCGGCCTCCACCGTTATTGGTAGAAGAGTAACCTATCTCTTTATACCTACCGGTATCGCATAACCAACAACTCCGCAAATTACAATTATGATATAATCCCTTTTATGATACTAAGCACATTGAGTCCAAAACTTTGGGTAAATTTGAACTGATGATTTGTCCCCTTTCCCACTTACCCCACCCTGGTTTACACTTATGTCTGCCCACTAGAATGCTTGGGCTCTGACTAGTAACCTCAAATTTCGACGATTAGACATTTTGTGAGCAGAAACAAGATAGTAGTACTTGCATGAACTTTCCCTTTCTGATTTTAAATCGTGCTTTTGTGCATGCATGGAGGCGCTATACAAGACACCGCTACTAGTAGGTTGTGAAATATTGTGCGTATACAGATCCTAAGGCGCTGGTTATGGTGGTTAAAAAAACTAGTGGTTCCCGCACATCCCGGTTCTAGGTAAACAAACTAAACATCAGTAAATCAGTCAAAATAGGTAGGAAATACAGGGTCAGTGTCGTGACACGTTATCTCATGGTGTGTCAATATTTGTCCGAGGCATAACTACCTGAGTTACGTTACATATGTTTCATTGACGAGGTCCTATCCAAACCCATGTGCAGGTCGAACCAGAAGGATCACCTCAAGGAGAAAGTGGAGAATGGAGCCCACCTCGAGAGTGTGTAAGTGCACATAAATTACGTAACACTCTTCACTCATCGAGATAAATCATCCTCGCACCATTCCGCTACATCAATTCTCCCCCATCGAAAGGTGTGAAAGACGTGTTGATCGATGCTTTGAATGCATGGCATCACGTGCCCGAAGGTTCCTTGGAAACGATTAAAAGCGTGGTAGATCTGTTGCATACGTCTTCTTTGACGTCGTGAATTGTACATACCGTATGAATCCCGAAGCTGACTGCCTAGGTTCGATGACATTGAGGACAACTCCATTCTCCGCCGAGGAATGCCTACCGCACATACTATATTTGGAATTGGCCAAACTATCAACTCTTCGACCTATATCCTGATTAAAGCTGTAGCTGAGGCACAGAAGCTCAGAAATAGAGTGTACTGCTCTTGTGATAGGTAGGAGTTCTAACAAGCCGTATTTTCAAACTGTATTTGACACCAAACATAGAGGGCGTATCGAATATGCTGCTAGGACAAAGTATAGATCTAGACACTACGTACCTTACAGAGTGCCCTAGCGAGGAAGAATACTTGACAATGGTTGACAATAGTGAGTTCAGCATGAGAACGTAAAAGTGTAGATTAACATAGGAAAGAGACCGGTCGTCTTTTCTTAATGATCAATCAACTGATGAAAGCTGAAAGTGAAGCGAAAAAGTGGGTCTATCTAATCATTATTGATTCGGATACTGATAATTCATAGTCCAGCCGACTTCGACCAACTGATGATGTTGTTCGGCCGCTTCTTCCAAATCAGGGTCGACTACATGAACCTAGCATCAGACGAGGTGAGTTTTGGGCTTGAAGAGTGATTCTAAATGTAGTATCTCTCCTACCCATTGATCCATTGCTTTCATTCGAATAATTCGTCCTCGAAATTCGTCCTCTCACCGAAACTAGAGCTTCAAAACATTTTCATGGCTCGGCGCCGTTCGGGCTGGAACGCACTACGGTACGAAATGAAGGTTAGGATCTTAATGGTCTTGAATAACACTGGAAGTTTGGACTTTACTCGTTAAACTCTTGATGATTTATACCAAGATTTGAGTAAGGAACTTAGTTATGTAGAGCGAACGATGGAACAGCCAAGCCCTAAGCTTAGGTATATCATAGAGAAGCTAAAACTTTGATAAGGGATATCGTGAGGGAGCTACAAGTGATGGAGATTGAGAACTACCTTAGAAATTTCCAGCCTGACGTTGATGTGTATACGGAGCTAATGCCGTTGGTGAGTTAGTACTTCTTGGCGGATGTTAAAAGAAAAGCGTCCGTGCACCTGAAATAGTCATTTCCATTCCCCACCCAGTGTACCAGATCCGTGAGATTCTATACAACTATCTCTCTCAAATTTACTATAACTCCATTGTGGTCTAGTGGCTAGGATTTGTCGCTCTCAGAATTCAGCTATACGACTGATTTCAGGGCCCCGACAAGGCCGGGGTTCAATTCCCCGCAATGGAATCGTCTTTTACCAATTCTTTTTGCATTATAAACGGTATCTTTCTCTTCTTTTTGCCCCTCATTCTAAAACTTTGCACAGTCTAGGTCTCGAAAATGGTTTGGCAAATTCGCTATTAGAAACTAAAAGATCTCATCCAGCGTAAAAATCTCCTCGGAATTTCAATACTATCTATATCGCGCGTGTCCACCGACCACCGGCCTCCGGAAACGACACTATAGTTTCTGCTCAAGAAAGCGACTATTTCGGGAGATCTAATGAAGACTTAGGGCTATAGTCAGCTTACGGATATCAGCTTAAAGATTTTGTCGTCACAGTGAGGTCTCCAGCATATCAGACTGTGGTTAAAGACTAACTCCGGTAGAGAGAATTCATTGATATGCTCTTGGATTAAACGCAATTACCTCAGAACCAATAAGCCTTAGTCAATTACGCTGCGTCTTAGGAGGCCGCAGTATTGTTATTACACAGCTATTAGGATTATCACTGCAAGAATTATAACTCAACATCACCATCTATTCAGCACCATGTATTTCGGGGACATGGACCCACTTGGGGGAAATAGGGTACAAGTACCACTGAATATAGAAACAATATTATCACTGAATTCAGTCCATAGCTCGAAACTCATCTCATTTACGGTATCCCAATCGATAGCGATGCGCTCTCCACGAGTCTTCTCATATACAGCATACGCCCCACGAAAGAAAGCATACTCTCCAAAATCACAGCTAACAAACTCCCAACGGAACTAACAGATCTGATTGTAAATCACTGGGTGCTTGCCGTTCGTCCGATTATCATCCGTCACGTGAACCGCAACTGGGTTCTACACCACTTCGATCCTGTCTTGAAACCATGGAGGAGAAAGGATCTAGGTGATGATAAGACATGCGAAGTGATTACAGAAACTCTAAAAAGCCTTGAAGTAAGTGAGTCTGTACCCAAGTACGCGCAAACTGAAACCTATTGGTCCCTAAGCCAACGCTAACAGCTCTGTAAGCGTAAACTCAACTTCCGCATACTCACATGGAATTCCTTCTTCCCCGGCCCTCCGGATCTTCTCCGTACCAATAAACTCTTCCTGAGCACTTATCACGCGAGTCCTTCATTACTAAAGTCCACTCTTCCCCCTTGCTCCCGCGAACTCTCCATCTTCCTGTTCCACCTTCACCGTTCGGTCCAGCCGATATCCTCCCCTAAGTCCACTCTGTGGGATTGGGGCCGTCATTATCAGACGACTGAGTTTTTCACGCCTTTCACCAACACTCCATACGTCGGTCGGGGCGCTCTCGAATATGCTCTGAGGCTGTCGATCTCACGCTTCGATGAGGTTCCCGAGAGCATACAGGACTATTTACCCGGCCTAGATGTCCAAGCGGCGAAGGAAGGGCGTAAGGTTTGGGGTGAGGCGCGCTTGCAGCGGTTCGTGGCGAGTTTGGGGTTGCAGGAGAGGAATGAATTAGCAGTATGGCCGTGGAGAAATTATCTGGTCGATCATCCGTTGATAGTGGATGTGGCGTCTCCGTTCTTCTTCGTGATCACGAGGATGGTGCCCACAAGTTATAGGCCGCCGTGGCTCTGATGTAGTCATAGCTAGGTGGATCTGACGGACTACTTATCATACCTTATACTGAAACGTAACGAAAGGACATAGAATAGATACCATACCTCAACTCCTGAGGACCGTACTCCAGGCCATCTTTGAGTTCAAATATATGCAGTGAATGGACTAGACCAAACACCCAAGTTATACTAACGCCTTACCAATAAATCATCCCATTCCATGTACAGTCATTTGTAGTCAATGTCCGGCTAGCTACACGTAATGAGAATTCGTGATGAAGCTGTTTTCTGTTTACTAGCTAACAGTCCGTATTTGAAGACCAGTTCAATGAATGCACAGCAAGCGTAGTTCTACAGTGAATGAGGGGGGTTGTGGTAAGAGTGAGTGGAGATACAGACGCTTTCCGGGATTTCCACATTTGATGCATTTCTTGAGTATCGCATGCAGAATAGCATCGGATAATGAGAGTGTAGAGCATGTTTGAGTGACGTTGGACCAGGATGAGGTTGGTATCTAGACTTCTCGTTCAATTTCCGAGGTTAAGCCGTGTACCCATCTCATCTTTCGAAGATGAACCTCAAGATTAAATCTCAACCTCTTCTGCATCCATCAGATATATCACAGCGTTATTGAGTAAATGTATCATACCTTACAAATTTTGTGAACAGCTGAGTGATAAGACCAGCGGGTGTTCTGCAAGGTAATGAATTGAATGCGTATTTCAATTCTATCTCTTTTGTCAGGTTTGCAAATCCTCACTTGCTGTATGCTTGCTGTATTCTGTCCGTCGTATGTACAGGGTAAGCGTATCGGCAGCTGGCTGTTGTTCGCCCAGTTCACTATGTACGTGGCCTTGGAAGCTGAATATCCTCAAGGTCCAACGAACCCTATAGGCAATAAGTTCCTAAGATAGTGCCAGACTACTTTCGCATCATACAGTCTCCTCCTCACCGTCTCAACGTCAATTACATGACCACATTATTCGAGGAGTTGATTTTCATCATGTTTTATCCATAACCGTTCATCTCTATCGGTGTCTCGATTTCACTAATTACGTGTCAATTGTCTTCTTCACTTAATGCATATTCTGTGTACACATGAAATATGAAAGTTCCACATAGCTGTCACAAGTGCAGGATAGATATCCCAGATGATATATTTCTGCTGGCACAACTAAGTCACGGATCAAACTTCGGAACGCGCTCAATAAATTCCTAAATTCTAAAAAGAATTCTCTAAAAATATCTTATTCTACTACACTCAACAAACCATACTAGATTCCATTACCATGAACGAACCACGTAGTTCTCGCAAACGAAGATCGAGCGGCATTCCATCGGCAATCGCGACTCTCATTGTCTTTCTCGGTTGCTTATTATCTCCAACTAAGCTAGCCTTCCGTCAACCCAATCTCGATCATCGTATGGAGCGGAATGAATCTTTCAACGCACCGTCGGCCAAGCGATCGCCTAACTGTTACAGCCCTGAGCGCCTACTTGAACGCTCCTTCGCCTGCGTTCCGCGTACATTCGTATTTCAATCTTTAGCGGAGGATGCCATTGATAAACTCTGCGATATCATCGGAACGAAGTCATGCGCGAACAACAATCTACCTCATATATCAGTATTGGTTAATGGAGTCATTGCCGAGATCAGTTTCGAGAGTTGTGCTTTGTTCCATGATTTGGAAGACCTCAACTATGGCAGCTGCCGTGCTCTGTTTGCTGCGTTTGAAGGTGGACAATGGGCCTTCGGATGTGGTCACGGTCTAGAGCATGGACAGTATGGATGTAAGTCTTCATAGGAGGGGACAGAGCAACTCATCAATAGGAATCTAATTATCTGTAGCTGGTGAGGTAACCTTCCGTTGCGACGATACTCGGTATTCTCTGTACTTGAAACAATCCGCAAGCGAGGAAGAGAGCATTTTGTCCATGGTCGACGCACTTGTGAGTAGTATCACAGCGGTTCCGGAAGTCAAAGTCGAAGCTATGCTTGAGGAAATTCCCTTTCAGAGCAGGGCCATTGTGAAACGGGCCTTCGATGCTTTGGATACAGCTTGGATGACTACGGACGAGGTGAAGTTTGCTTTACAGTCTAGCATCCGTCGGTATGCGGCTGAAGCACGGGCGAAAGAAGTTGCAGGAGGACACCACGGTGGAGATGGGGTTGGGGGAGACCTACACTGCACTTGTTAACGGGAAGTGTCTTATTGTTCCTTCTCTATAGCTGATATTAGCGCAGAGGGACGCTAGAATATGATGTGATTGTAGCCTTCATCATTACATTTCCTATTCTCTTACGTCACTTACAACACTCTTCGTGAAGTTCATCCTCTTGACAGATATCCAGGGGTAAATCGAAAGCAACAGTGCCTCAGCTAGGAATGAGCACTTCGAATGTAATATATGATTTCGTGAGTAGCTTTCTATCCCGGCTACGGAGACTGGGGTGATTAAAAGTCTATATATTTCTAGTACCGGAAATAGGGCATTATGTCAGTATCCGCCATTCATGCCATAGAGTGGCCTATCCCATTAGGTTTGATCCCCTAAACATTTCCTATAACGATATTCCGCGATTAGATCACGCTTACGGTATGTTATACACACCAATCCAGTACCGATAGACGAGATGTTTCGTTCAACAAGTGGAGCTCTTGTTGGTCAACCCCGCAGTATGAAGCAACTCCACGCTGAGGGGTCGTGGGGTAGTCCTATACCGATCGAAAACCGAAACAGACGGAAAGTCTCTAACCGTAAGTCGTATTCAAACTACAAATAGAGTCGACAAAAGGGAGTTGTTCTTCAAGGGGTAACTGACCCAGTACTTCCATCTCTTCAGTTGTGAGCTTATATATTCAATTCTATCATCACTCTTTACCTATCTATGCTCTTTTCCCACTCAACTTTCATCCATAAGTCGTAAAATTACAATGACGACAGATTTTCTTTCACCTAAAGCTGGCAGCTATCCTCATGTACTTGAGCTTCCTCCATCCCCAGTTAAACCACCTAAGGAGATTGATCCACGTGCCGTTGCAACAGAATGGCTTGCAAACTTCGAGCATGTCCTAGCTAGCGGTGATGCATCTCAACTGTCGTCCATCCTCCACGACGATTGTTGGTGGCGGGATGCTGTCACCCTGACGTGGGACCTGAGAACATTCCACACGTTGGAAAAGATCAACTCTCTCTTCTCAAATGAGGTTAATCTGAAAAAGATTGGGTTCAGCAATCTCAAGATCCGAGAACCTACCAAACTGCCTCCGATTTTAGCAGATCTAGGTCCCTTGCAATGGGTGGAATCAATGTATACATTCGAAACCGCAGTGGGACGTGGTAGAGGCATGATTAGGCTAACTCAAGATGTTCATGGCCAGTGGAAAGGGTATCTAATCTCTACTGCTCTATTCGAGTTGAAGGGCCATGAAGA